ACCCTACATGAAACAACCCCACATAGAACAACCCCACATAGAACAACCCCACATAGAACAACCCCATATGGAACAACCCCACATAGAACAACCCCACATGGAACAACCCCACATGGAACAACCCCACATAGAACAACCCCACATAGAACAACCCCACATGGAACAACCCCACATGAACAACCCCACATAGAACAACCCACATGGAATAACCCCACATATAACAACCCCACATGGAACAACCCCACATAGAACAACCCCACATAGAATAACCCCACATAAACAACCCCATATGGAACAACCCCACATAGAACAACCCCACATGGAACAACCCCACATGGAACAACCCCACATAGAACAACCCCACATAGAACAACCCCACATAGAACAACCCCACATGGAACAACCCCACATAGAACAACCCCACATGGAACAACCCCACATAGAACAACCCCACATGGAACAACCATTGATATTAATCCCTGAGAGAGGAGAGAGAGTGCACTGCAACATGTTACAAGACAAAGCTCCATCACATTAAGTGTTTTAAGTTAAACTAGAGTTAAAAACATTGCTATTTTAAGGATACAGAAGCGACCTTGCAACCGTGTGCAATTAAGGCAGTTGGAAGCATTCATAAAATTACCAGGATTAAATGAGAAAAGAATGTAAGTCAGAAAATAATATTAAAAAATAATTATCAGAGGTTTAATGACGTTTTAAGTTTAACGAAGAGAAGACTTTCCTATTTCTGGGGACATTCTCATATTCTCTTATACTTCCATACAAATTGTTCTCTATTAATCAGGAATGATTTTTTCGATAAGCGTTAGAATTTTGTATTGTGTGGTTTGGATGTAGTGTAGGGCGAGGTTCATGGGTCAGTGTGCAGGTGTGGGTGATCTGTGCAGTGTGCAGGTGTGGGTGACCTGTGTACAGTGTGCAGGTGTGGGTGACCTGTGTACAGTGTGCAGGTGTGGGTGACCTGTGTACAGTGTGCAGGTGTGGGTAACCTGTGTACAAAGTTGGTAGAATTACCGACAATATGTAAAGTAAAAGGACACAAGTGCAACTCTCCAGGAGCTTGATGAAGCTCCTGGAGAGCGAAACGTTGCCACAATAAATGTCACATTAGTTGCACTTGTGTCCTTTTACTTTACGACCTGTGTACAGTTTGCAGGTGTGGGTGACCTGTGTACAGTTTGCAGGTGTGGGTGACCTGTGTACAGTGTGCAGGTGTGGGTGACCTGTGTACAGTGTGCAGGTGTGGGTGACCTGTGTACAGTGTGCAGGTGTGGGTGACCTGTGTACAGTGTGCAGGTGTGGGTGACCTGTGTACAGTGTGCAGGTGTGGGTGACCTTTGCGCAGTGTGCAGGTGTGGTTGACCTGTGTGTACAGTGTGCAGGTGTGGGTGACCTGTGCACAGTGTGCAGGTGTGGGTGACCTGTGTACAGTGTGCAGGCGTGGGTGACCTGTGTACAGTGTGCAGGTGTGGGTGGCCTGTGTACAGTGTGCAGGTGTGGTTGACCTGTGCGTACAGTGTGCAGGTGTGGGTGACCTGTGTACAGTGTGCAGGTGTGGGTGACCTGTGTACAGTGTGCAGGTGTGGGTGATCTGTGCACAGTGTGCAGATGTGGATGACCTGTGTGAGCACACTGTGCACAGTGTACAGTTGTGGATGAGCTGTGTGTACAGTGTGCAGGCGTGGGTGACCTGTGTACAGTGTGCAGGTGTGGGTGGCCTGTGTACAGTGTGCAGGTGTGGTTGACCTGTGCGTACAGTGTGCAGGTGTGGGTGACCTGTGTACAGTGTGCAGGTGTGGGTGACCTGTGTACAGTGTGCAGGTGTGGGTGATCTGTGCACAGTGTGCAGATGTGGATGACCTGTGTGAGCACACTGTGCACAGTGTACAGTTGTGGATGAGCTGTGTGTACAGTGTGCAGGTGTGGGTGACCTGTGTACAGTGTGCAGGTGTGGGTGACCTGTGTACAGTGTGCAGGTGTGGGTGATCTGTGCACAGTGTGCAGGTGTGGGTGGCCTGTGTGAGCACACTGTGTACAATGTGCAGGTGTGGGCGACCTGTGCACAGTGTGCAGGTGTGGGTGACCTTTGTGAGCACACTGTGCAGTGTGCAGGTGTGGGTGACCTGTGTGAGCCCACTGTGCACAGTGTGCAGGTGTGGGTGACCTGTGTGAGCACACTGTGCACAGTGTGCAGGTGTGAGTGACCTGTGTGAGCACACTGTGCACAGTGTACAGTTGTGGATGACCTGTGTGAGCACACTGTGCACAGTGTGGCTAGGTGTGGGTGACCCTGTGTGAGCACACTGTGCACAGTGTGCAGGTGTGGGTGACCTGTGTGAGCACACTGTGCACAGTGTGCAGGTGTGGGTGACCTTTGTGAGCACACTGTGCACAGTGTGCAGGTGTGGTTGACCTGTGTGTACAGTGTGCAGGTGTGGGTGACCTGTGTACAGTGTGCAGGTGTGGGTGACCTGTGTACAGTGTGCAGGTGTGGGTGATCTGTGCACAGTGTGCAGGTGTGGGTGGCCTGTGTGAGCACACTGTGTACAATGTGCAGGTGTGGGCGACCTGTGCACAGTGTGCAGGTGTGGGTGACCTTTGTGAGCACACTGTGCAGTGTGCAGGTGTGGGTGACCTGTGTGAGCACACTGTGCACAGTGTGCAGGTGTGGGTGACCTGTGTGAGCACAATGTGCACAGTGTGCAGGTGTGAGTGACCTGTGTGAGCACACTGTGCACAGTGTACAGTTGTGGATGACCTGTGTGAGCACACTGTGCACAGTGTGCAGGTGTGGGTGACCTGTGTGAGCACACTGTGCACAGTGTGCAGGTGTGGGTGACCTGTGTGAGCACACTGTGCACAGTTTGCAGGTGTAGGGGACCTGTGTGAGCACACCGTGCACAGTGTGCAGGTGTGGGTGACCTTTGTGAGCACACTGTGCACAGTGTGCAGGTGTGGGGGACCTGTGTGAGCACACTGTGCACAGTGTGCAGGTGTGGGAGACCTTTGTGAGCACACTGTGCACACTGTGCAGGTGTGGGTGACCTGTGTGAGCACACTGTGCACAGTGTGCAGGTGTGGGTGACCTGTTTGAGCACACTGTGCACAGTGTGCAGGTGTGGGTGACCTGTTTGAGCACACTGTGCACACTGTGCAGGTGTGGGTAACCTGTGTGAGCACACTGTGCACAATGTGCAGGTGTGGGTGATTTGTGCACAGTGTGCAGGTGTGGGTGACCTGTGTGAGGACACTGTGCACAGTGTGCAGGTGTGGGCGACCTGTGTGAGCACACTGTGCACAGTGTGCAGGTGTGGGCGACCTGTGTGAGCACACTGTGCACAGTGTGCAGGTGTGGGGTACCTGTGTGTGCACAGTGTGCACAGTGTGCACACTGTGCACACTGTGCACAGTGTGCAGGTGTGGGGTACCTGTGTGTGCACACTGTGCACAGTGTGCAGGTGTGGGGTACCTGTGTGTGCACACTGTGCACAGTGTGCACACTGTGCACACTGTGCACAGTGTGCAGGTGTGGGGTACCTGTGTGTGCACAGTGTGCACAGTGTGATAGATGAATACAAGTTTTTAATTTCAAAATAATATTAAATTATTTTATCTTATTGCATAATTTTCCCTTTGATGCTGGTGAGGGGCTCTTGATCCAAGGAACTAGAGTCACCTTTCCGTTGCTTGGATCGATGCCTGCCGTTGCTGTGTCACCATGTGACACCCGACATGTGACACCCGACATGTCACACCCGACATGTGACACCCGACATGAAACAGATGGAGCCTGTCATAGGTGATGGCACAAATGGTATTGGATTCTGTGCAATGACTGTAAAATGAATCTTCTGGTCGGCTTGAAACTTTTAGTGTTGATGTATATTTCTCAAAGGAGATAATCTCTTGATGTTTGTTTGTTCATGTTATCATGTGTCATTTTCATTAATTATATTGGTTAATGCGAAATAAGTGAAGATTGTTTTTTGAGGTGAGAAATAAGTCACAATGTTTGGCTTTATTGGGTAAATAAGTCAAATAATGTTGTTTTATGTGTCTATAACACGTGTGTTTATGTGTCTATAACACGTGTGTTTATGTGTCTATAACACGTGTGTTTATGTGTCTATAACACGTGTGTTTATTGTCTATAACACGTGTGTTTATGTGTCTATAACACGTGTGTTTATGTGTCTATAACACGTGTGTTTATGTGTCTATAACACGTGTGTTTATGTGTCTATAACACGTGTGTTCCCTCAGGACCATTGTTAAGTATTTGTACAGTAATATCCCACAAATTTTAGAGACAATTTCGAAGTTATTTTGGCGTGTGTAGGTTCAAATTTGTATCTGATTAACTTCAGCCCTACCATACCGATTGCTTGATAGTAAAACATCTGTGTGGCTTCAAGATTTATGTATTTGTGTGTTTTATGATACTGGTCACTCTGGTCTCTCGGAAAGATCTGACTTACATTTGGTCTGTGTATGTCATAATTTAAAATTTTTATTGAAGAAATTTAGATATTAGTTTCTATATGATAACTTGTGAATGTCTCTTCTGATTCCCTTACAATCTTCAATACCAATATTCAACTGTATTATCAACTTATGCCGCACTCTGCACTATTCCAGTCGTATACATTGAGGTACAGGGAAATGGGATTATGAATACTGGGACACCTTCCTGGGATCATTGATACACAGGGACAGGGGTTCTACAATACGGGGATACCTCCCTGGGATAGCGCAGAGACCGATGTGCATCAGTTTATTTTCGAGTTTGCTGAAGGATTACGAATTAAGTAAATCCAGTATATTCACTAACAACAGGACTCGACAAATGCGTTACATCTGACATTCGTAATGCCTCAGCGATTGTCTCTTACGAAAACACTGAACACCCGAACAGTACTTTTTTAACCGTGTAAATATAAATAAATTAATTTTATCTTTTTTACATTGTTTATACAAACCTATAATCCCTGCAGTAATAACGGAGAGGCTGATCATGTAGCAGCACCTCATGCTGAACCTGGGCCAGTCTGTCAGCGTGGATACTATAATACAAGTCAGCAAAGCACAGCTAGCTGATGCTGTCATGCACAATCCTGCTGCCTGGTTGGAGTGACCCGCCGCCTGCACAGCGAAGGGCATGAAGACCAGGAAATTAAAGAGTGAGTTCATTACGAGAGCTCCTCCCACAACGATAATGATGGCTCGTGGTGACTTCAGGATCAACAGATTAGCTGCAATGTTCCGGAGTAATTTACATCTACTTTCATTTTCCGTACTTGTAGCTCCAGAAGCTGCTATGGAATCCTCGCCTTTCACTGATGCGTCATTCTTTCTCTGGGACTGGAAAGGGTGGAAGAGGCATGCGCCTACGCAGCCGTGAAGTACCACAGCGCCCAGAAGGAATGTAGCACATGTAGAACCAAACTCTTGCTGTAGATAACCTATAATAATTGGTCCTAACATCTGTCCCACATAGATACCAGCCATCAAGCAAGCATTTGCCAGACCTCTCCTGCGTGTAAAGTAGTGAGGAATAATGAAGAAACAGAGGTTCGTCAGGACGCCACACCCAGCCCTAAAATGGTCAGAAAATATCCACATTATTAATCATTCTAACACTGAAATTATTATTTAATAAACAATAATACCTGCAAAAACTGAAGAAAATTCTAAGTAATAATTATAACATTATTATTAGGTGGAATATCTTTGTAATTTAGTTGTGACTGTAACACTATAACATTTATATATTGTGGTGCTCCTTTAGTCTCAAAAAAAAAATAAAAGCAAAAAATTAAACAATCTAAGTGAAAACAGTAATGGGCAAAACATGCTAATAACAATTTCGTAATTAACTTGTCAGATGAAACATTAGATTTTTGAGCAATAGTGCCTTAACTTTGCTTATTTTTTAAGCATCTGTACTGTGTTCCTCACCTTTGGGAAAACCTTTTTGCGCGTAACAACGAGTATGGTGGGCTTACACAGTAATGGTCGGGATGGTCGGTTTCACAGTATGGTTCGAGTATATGGGAAAACACAAACTGGTCGAGTATAGTGACTTACACGTAACTGGTCGAGAGGGGGTTACACAGAAAAAGGTGAGTTTGTGGAGTTTCAAATTCTGGTCGAGCATGGTCGAGTTACCATAACGGGCCTATGGTCGTAACACAGTAAGATTTAAAGGGGGGAGTTACCAGTAACTGGGAATATGGTCGGTTAAACATAAAAATTTTGAGAAGGTGGAGTTACACAGTAACTATCGGTATGGCGAGTTATGAGTAAAGGGCCCAGTATGGACGAATTAAATAATAAAGGTCGATTTTGGTGGAGTTACAATTAACTAGCCCCGTATGGGGGACTTACACAGTAAACTGGTCAGGATGGTAGAGTTAAAATAACTGGTCGAGAAGGTGAAATACCAGTAACTTTTCGAATTTGGTGGGGTTAAACAGAACTGGGCGAGTAAGGTGGGGTTACACAGGAACTGGTTGAGTTGATGGGGTTACAGAGTAACTGGTCGAGTATGGTGAGTTTCACAGTAACTGGTCGAGTATGGGGAAGTTACACAGTAATTGGTCGAGCTGGTCGAGTTACCAGTAATTTTTTCGGTAGGTGGTTACACGTAAATTTGGGCGAGTGGGGGAGGAGTTACACTAACGGCGGTATGGTCGATCATAGAGTAATTTTCGGTTTTTCAGTAACGGCCGAGTTTGGTCGAGTTCACAGTAAAAAAATTCGAGTATGGTCCCAATACACCGTAACTCTTTGAGTTGTTCGAGTTACCCAAAACTGGGCGGATTTGCTGGAGTTTTTCAAGTAAATGGCGGGAGGAGGATTACACATAACTGGTCGAGTATGGTGGAGTTACACACTAACGGTCGAGTATTTTCGACTTACACAGTAACGGTCAAGCATGTTTGGGGTAAAAAAGTAACTGGTCGGTATGGTCGAGTTGCACAATAAATGGTCGAGAATGTGGGTTACACAAAAACGGGAGATATGGGATTACACAGAACTCGTCGAGTATCGTCGACTTACACAGTAACTGATCGAGTACGGTGGAGTTACACAGAAACTGGTCGAGTATGCTGGAGTTATACGGTAACTTGTTGAGTTTGGCCGAGTTACACAGTATATGATGGTATATGGTCGAGTTACACAGTAACTGATCGAGTATGGTGGAGTTACACAGTAACTGGTCGAGTATAGTCGAATTACACAGTAACTGGTCGAGTATGCTGGAGTTACACAGTAACTGGTCGAGTATGGTGGAGTTACACAGTAACTGGTCAAGTATGGAGGGGTTATACAGTAACTGGTCGAGTATGATGGAGTTATAAAAGTAACTTTACGAGCATGATCGACTTACACAGTAACTGATCGAGTATGGTGGAATTACACAGTAACTGGTCGAGTATGGTGGAGTTACACAGCAACTGGACGTGTACCTGGAGACCTGGAAAGAGTTCCGGGGGTCAACGCCCCCTTGGCCCGGTCTATGACCAGAAAATTATTGAGTATGGTGGAGTTATACAGTAACTGGTCGAGTGTGGTCGAGTTACTCAGTAACTGGTCGAGAATGCTGAAGTTACACAGTAACTGGTCCCGTATGGGGGAGTTACACAGGAACTGGTTGAGCATCGTGGAGTTGCACAGTAACTGGTCGATTATTGTCCAGTTACACAGAAACTGGTCCACCAAGGTGGAGTTACACAATAACTGCTCGAATATGATGGAGTTACAGAGTAACTCGTCGAGTATCGTCGAGTTACTCAGTAACTGATCGAGTACGGTAGTTGCACAGTAACTGGTCGAGTATGGTGGACTTACACAGTAACTGGTCGAGTATGGTCGAGTTATACAGTAACTGGTCCAGTATAGTCGAATTAAACAATAAATGGTCGAGTAAGGTGGAGTTACTCAGTAACTGGTCCAGTATGGTAGACTTACACAGTAACTGGTCGAGTATGGTGGAGTTACACAGTAAGTGGTCCAGTATGGTGAAATTACACAGTAAATTGTCGAATATGGTGGAGTTACACACTATCTTCCCGAGTATGGTGTAGCTACAGAGTGATTGGTCGAGTAAGATGGAGTTACACAGTAACTGGTCGCAAATGGTGGAGCTACACAGTTACTGGTCGAGTATGGTGGAGTTACACAGTAACTGGTCGAGTATGGTCGAGTTACACAGAAACTGGTCCAGCATGGTTGAATTACACAGTAACTGGTCGAGCACGGTCGAGTTACGCAATAAATGGTCGAGTATGGTGGAGTTACACAGTAAATGGTCGAGTATGGTGGAGTTACACAGTAACTGGTCGAGTATGTTCGAGTTACACAGTAACTGACCGAGTACGGTGGAGTTATACAGTAACTGGTCGAATATGATGGAGTTACACAGTAACTGATCGAGTATGGTTGAGTTACGCAATAAATGGTCGAGTATGGTGGAGTTACACAGTAAATGGTCGAGTATGGTGGAGTTACACAGTAACTGGTCGAGTATGTTCGAGTTACACAGTAACTGACCGAGTACGGTGGAGTTATACAGTAACTGGTCGAATATGATGGAGTTACACAGTAACTGATCGAGTATGGTTGAGTTTCACAGTAACTGGTCAAGTATGGTGGGGTAACACAGTAACTGGTCGAGTACCTTGAGACCCTTAGAGAGTTCCGGGAGTCAACGCCCCCGCGGCCCGCTCTATGACCAGACCTCCTGTGGATCAGAGCCTGATCAACCAGGCTGGTAATGCTCGCTACACCCAATCCAACGATCGTGCTACAGCCTGGCTGGTCAGGTACCGACTTCAGGAGGATGGAGGAGTTACAGAGAAACTGGTAAAGAATGGTCGAGTTACAGAGTAACTGGTCGAGTATGGTCGAGTTTTACTGTAACTGGTCGAGTATGGTGGAATTACACAGTAATTGGTCGAGCGTTTTGGAGTTATGCAGTAACTGGTCGAGTATGTTCGAGTAACACAGTAACTGGTCCAGTATGGCGGAGTTCCACAGCAACTGGTCAATTATGGTCGAGTTACACAGTAACTGGTCGAGTATGGCGGACTTACACAGTAACTGGTCGAGAGTGGTCGAGTTACACAGTAACTGGTCGAGAGTGGTCGAGTTACACAGTAACTTGTCCAGCATGGTCGAGTTACACAGCTACTGGTCGAGTATGGTCGAGTAACACAATAAATGGTCGAGTATGTTGGAGTTACACAGTAATTGCTCGAGCATGGTGGAGTTACACAGTAACTGGTCGAGTATGGTGGAGTTACACAGTAACTCGTCGAGTATCGTCGAGTTACACAGTAACTGATCGAGTACGATATAGTTACACAGTAACTGGTCGAGTAAGGTGGAGTTATAGAGTAACTGGTCGAGTATTTTCGAGTTATACTGTAACTGGTCAAGTATGGCGGAGTTACACAGTAACTGGTAGAGTATAGTGGAGTTACACAGTAACTGGTCGAGTATGTGGAGTTACACAGTAACTCGTCGAGTATGGTCGAGTTACACAATAAATGGTCGAGTATGGTGGAGTTAATCAGCAACTGGTCAAATATGGTCGAGTTACACAGTAACTGGTCGAGTATGATGGACTTACACAGTAACTGGTCGAGTAAGGTCGAGTTACACAGCAACTGGTCCAGCATGGTGGAGTTATACAGTAACTGGTCGAGTATGGTTGAGTTACACAATAAAAGGTCGAGTATGAACATAAGAACGAAGGAACACTGCAGCAGGCTTACTGGCCCATGCGATACAGGTCCAAGTCTCCTACCGGCTTAAGCCAATGCACCCAACCTAGTCAGGTCAGGTCACCTTGACTAAAGGGAGGAACACCTCAACCGACCTGGTAGCACAAGCTAATCAGGTCCAACTCACACCCACCCACATCCACTCATGTAATTATCCAACCTATTTTTAAAGCTACACAACGTTCTGGCCTCTATCACTGTACTTGGGAGTTTGTTCCACTCATCCACAACTCTATTACCAAACCAGTACTTTCCTATATCCTTCATGAATCTGAATTTTTCTAACTTAAAACCATTGCTGCGAGTCCTGTCTAGGCTAGGTATTTATTCCTGTCTTCCATTTATACACCTCAATCATATCCCCCCTAATTCTACGTCTTTCTAGAGAGTGCAGATTCAGGGCCCTCAGTCTATCCTCATAGGGAAGGTTTCTGATACATGGAATCAACTTTGTCATCCTCCTTTGTACATTTTCCAGAGCATTCATATCCGTTCTGTAATACGGTGACCAAAACTATGCAGTATAATCTAAATGAGGCCTAACCAAGGATGTATAGAGTTGAAGAACAACCTGAGGACTCCTATTATTTATGCTTCTTGATATGAAGCCAAGGATTCTATTAGCTTTATTGCGAACACTTATGCACTGTTGTCTTGGTTTCAGATTACTGCTAACCAGAACTCCTAAATCTTTTTCGCAATCCGTAATATTAAGATCTACATTATTTAGTTTATATGTGGCATGGTTATTGTCCTGTCCAACATTTAGAACTTTGCATTTGTCTATATTAAACTGCATCTGCCA